TAGAGGCATATCCTAGGAATACAGCCTCATCACTACGTTCATCAAACTTTCCCAAGTTCCTTTTACCATTGTTATGAACAAAACATTTACAACCAAAAGATCTAAAATAAGAAATATTAGGTTTTCTCCCTTTTATCAGCTCATAGGGAGTTTTGTTGGTAATGGCTCTAACTGATACTCTGTTAAGAATATAACATGCTGTATTCACTGCATCTGCCCAGAAGTTCCTAGGCAAACCACTTGAGATCAGCATTGTTCTAGCCATGTCTTCAAGGTTTCTGTTCTTGCGTTCTGCTACTCCATTTTGTTGAGGAGTCCTGGGGGCAGAGAAGTTGTGATCCATTCCATGTTCAGTGCATAATTCATCAAATTTTGAATTTTCGAATTCTGTGCCATGATCTGATCTGAGGTGTATCAATGGATTACCTGTTCTTCTCTGTTCTTTCTTTACAAAAGCTATAAATTCATCAAACGTGTCATCTTTACTCACAAGAAAGAAAACCCAAGTAAACCTTGAAAAGTCATCAACAATAACCATAACATATCTCTTACCACTTCTACTTTGGATTCTCATTGGACCACATAGATCCATATGAACAAGTTCCAAAGGTCTTTTGGTACTTACCATTTTCTTGGACTTAAAAGAAACTCGAGTCTGTTTTCCTCTAACACAAGCATCACACACTTTGTCATATAGGAACTTAATACGTGGAAGTCCTTCCACTAATTCCTTAGATCTCAATTTATCAAGTAGAGTGAAGCTTGCATGTCCAAATCTTTTGTGCCATAATAAAGGATCAGTCTCAATGACACTAAGACATGTTAAACTACTATTAGGAACTTCGTTAAGATCAACAACATACGTGTTTCCTTTACGAGTTCCTTCTAAGATGATGTTCCCAGTGTCATTATGAATGATTATGCACTTATTAGAAGTAAAGCTTACAGAGTTACCTTTGTCACAAAACTGTGAAATACTCAACAAGTTATGTTTGAGGCCCTCGACCAAAAATACATTATCAATTGCATGGGAACTTGACCTTCCTACTTTGCCAATAGCAACTATATCTCCAGTCATGTTATCACCAAAGGTCACAGTTCCCCCATAGTAGGCATCCAGTGAGAGAAATCTAGATTTATCTCCAGTCATGTGCTTAGAACAACCACTGTCGAGGTACCAAGTGTTGTTCCCCCTCACTGGAACCTGCATGAGAAATCAAACATTAGGTTCAGGAACCCAGGTTTCCTTGGGTTCCTGTGTAACAACAGTAGGTTTATTCTTTTCGATCCAAATTTGTTCTACATGCTTTTTGTTTTTCTGAGTACTATTTTCTTTCTTAGGACACTTAACTTGTTTGTGTCTAGTATTTCCACAGAAATAACAAACTATACTACTAGGAAGGTCCACATATTTCTTTTCTTTTTGGAACTTCTTTTTGAAACCCAAACCTTCTGTTCTTTTTGTTTGAGCTTTGGTGATCCAATCAGGAACTCTGTAATCTACAGGTTGTTTGCCTTTCCTAGCTTTCTCAAGTTCCCCCTCAAGTCTTGCTTTATCCGCTTTTATATTTTCTAAATCAGATTTCAGTTTTTCAAAATTCGGATATTGAGCAAGTGGAGGAACTTCAGAATCAGGGCATTAAGACAGAGTTTCATCAAGGATAGTTCCACATTCAACATTATGTTATCATGTTTCAACCTGTCTATAGTTTCTTTTAAATGATTATTATCATCGAACAGACTAAAGAATCTATATTGAATATCAAATTTCAAATTATCAACTCAGTGACTGTTTTCTTTAAAAGTAACCAAAGCTTAATCACTTTTATGTTTAGCTTTATACAAATCCTTAAGTTCTTCTTGAATTTCCAAAACAGCTAAAATTAAGTTTTCTTTAGAGAAATGTCTAAGTTCTTTTTGAGAAAACCATACCTCAGACTCTAGTTCCTTCAGCTTTGCCTTTTCATCAATTTTGGCCATCAAACATAGATGGGCAGTTTCCTCTGCTGATTGTTCTTCCTCTTCCTCAAAATCTGAATCTCCCCAAGCAGCTAACATGGCTTTTTTCACGTTGTCCTTGGTGAAGTAAGGTTTGTAGACTCTTGACTCTTTGGATTGCTCCTTGCCCTTAGTCTTTCCTTTCTCACCGTCTGGTAATGGACAATCTTTAATGAAGTGATATTTTGAGCCGTACTTGAAACATGTTGTGTTTCTGGAACTTGCATATTTCTTGTTCCTATTGAACTTCTTGTAGTTCATCATCCTTTTGAACTTTCTTACTAGCATTGCCATTTCTTCCTCATCAGCTTCTGATTCCTCTGAGTCTTGAGCCTTAAGAGCCAGACTCTTGTTTTTGGAACTTTCAGATGGAACTCAGATGTAGTTCATGAGTCATCAATGATCCAGCTAGTTGTTCCATGTTGAACTTTGTGAAGTCCTTAGCTTCCTGCATAGCAGTAACCTTTGACCTCCATCGTTCATCTTGTGGTAGACTCCTCAAGATCTTCCTAGCCTGTTCATCAATTGGAATGTGTCTGCCAAGGGAATTCAGTTCATTAATAATATCATTGAACCTAGTAAACATTTCCTCTATAGTTTCCTTTGATTGCATTTCAAACCTTTCATATCTAGACATCAACAAATCAATTTTAGAACGTTTTACCTCATTTGTACCTTCATGAGTTACTTCTAGTAGATCCCAAATCTGTTTAGCAGACTTGCATGCCATGATACGATTATGTTCATGAGGTCCAAGTCCACAATGCAAATACTTTATGGCTAAAGCATTCAATTCAAGTTTTTGATAATCTTCTTTGTCATAATCAAAAATAGGTTTAGGAACTACCTCTTTCTTTTCATTGGTTATGGTTATTTCAAAATCACCAGCTTCAATAACGCGCCAAACCTGGTAATTTTCTGCCTTAATAAATATCTCCATCCTGTTCTTCCAGTAGGTGTAGAACTTACCATTGAACATGGGTGGACGTTGGGTAGAATACCCTTCTTTAAGTTTCTCTTTGTAATTCATCTCTCCAGGAACTTACTCAGCAAAGTTATTCGCTTATACGAGAGTACCTTGCTCTGATACCAATTTTTAGTTGAGACGATCAATACAAGAGGGGGGGTGAATTGTATAGAGTTCCTAATGACTACTTTTTGCGGATAAATAAACAATGCGTAAAGGAACTTAAGCCAACACACAGATTTTACGAGGAAACCTTCCAGGGCCCAACTGGAAGTAAAACCTCGACCCTACCTTAGGGATTTCAAACACAAAACACTTCACTATAATAAGGCAAACACCAAGTTACAACCTATTAGACACAAACCTTTATTTCACAAGTTCCTCACTGGACTTGCTACTTGATAGGACCCTATCCTACCCAATCTAAGCACCCCACTTAGATTCACTCGTACCACCAAAGTACTACACGTACTACCAAAGTACACAACACTCGTACCACCCCAGTACAAAACTCACAGCCTCACCAAGAAGCTTACACAAATCTGTATGTAACACAAATTATAAATATCACCCCAAATAACCCAACCAATACAAATATAAGACGCCTATTATGATAGGTAAGCAATGCACGAAATCTGAAACTAATATGATAAGTTAAAAGCTTGGTAAACTTACTCAGTTAAAGCACTGTGATTTCTCCACGCATAAACTCACAAAAACCTAAAATATTTTTCTCTTTACTATTTATACAAGTAACACTTGTATAGAAGGTAGGTTTTCTAAAAAGATAAATATGTTAACTTGACTTATCTTTTTAAACACGGTTTTACAAATCAAGTGGAATAAAATCTTTTCCGAAAATAAGTATAAAAGATATTTATTAAGAAGACTTATCTTTCTTAATAAACCGAATTTAGAGAAAAATAATCTTTTTAGAAAATCTTTTTCCTAAAATCTATCTTTTATTATTTTTCATATTTATTTTAATTACCAAGCAAACTTATCACGTTTCTAATAAATTCCGCGCACTAACCTACTTACCATATTAACAATAATTTCTAAGAATAAAACTTTAACAATTATTGCTGCACTGCACTCTGATCAGATGAATTACTCGGGCTCCAAGCATATCAAGTTCCACCAAAGAACTTAACTGCCAGTCTTCAAGTTCCTATTAGGGAACTTAGTTCTTGTTAGAGAACTCTTCCTCTGATTTGTTTTAACTTCTTCAATAAAGATCTTCTTCATGTCTTCTTAGATTCAGATGGTTCTTCAATCACCAAGATTATTCTGCACCTTGACTAATCACACACTAGAGAATCTTTATTAGATGAGTTTGCTTTTAGTTTAAGTTCCTCATCATCAAAACCTTTATGCTTCAACAATAAATGATGAGCATGAGACCTGTCATATCTAAAAATCATCTGATCTTTCAGATCATTGAATCACTGTATTACGCAACATTGTACATGCTAAGGGCCCATCAATCAATATAGGAAATAATTTATGGTTGGTCTACATGTAATTCAATTAATTTTATATGAAAAATAATTTTGTGATAGGATCATATAACTCCTCAACAACTCCAAGGATAAAATTAAAACATAAAAGAGACAGAAGAAGAAAAAGGGAGGAGGTTCATGAGTGAAATAATTATATACACCTAAGTGGATGGTATATACTCAAAAGTATTTTTTTGTTAATTTGCTGATTAAATGAGCAATAATCATTAAAATGAGCAAATAAGACCTTTAGGTGTACCGTGCACATAGGTGTACATACATAAAAAACTCCCGCCCATGAGGGAATACAACATTACAACGGGTTGGTTGATTGACCAAAAATGTGAAATGGTGTATGTACTTTTGTTATGTGACCACATTTTTTCTTTACCTATTTTTTAACTTCACTTTTGATCTCATTTATAATTTTATTGCATAGTCACTTATATTATTTTAAATTATACTCGTATATAAATCAATATTACATATTTCAACAAATAATAATAATAATTATATTGTTAAGATCATCTTCTCTATTATATTGTGAATCTTTAACCATGTAATAAAAAAATAATGATGACTAGTTATTGACAACTACTCCTAATATCCTTCATTATCTTAACATCTCAACCCACACCACGCCAAATCCTTGATTAATAACTCTTATAATCAATCTCAACTCACAAAGGGAGTGGCATGATATGCCTTACCTTAACCACTTTCATCGCACCCTCTTTCTATTATTACTCATCACCCTTTCATACACAACAACAGCCCAACCATCACCAACTTCCGACAACTACGACTCTCCTTTACCCACCAACGCCATCATCATCATCATCATCGTCGTCGTCTCCTTCGGTGTCCTCACTTGCTGCGCCCGCCCATTCATCTCTTGCTTCAGCGCCTACATCTACGGTGGTAGCACCCAAGAAGGCGGCGAAGGCGACGATGGTGGAGTACGACAGAGGGAAAATCCACGTGGACTTGACCCTTCTATAACCGCCGCTTTTCCTACTTTTTTATTTTCCGATGTCAAAGTCCACTTGATTAGTAAAACGACGCCGTTAGAGTGCGCAATATGTTTAAACGAGTTTGTTGACAATGAACATTTGAGGTTGTTACCTAGATGTAGCCACGTGTTTCATCCTCATTGCATTTCTCCTTGGCTTGCATCCAACGTTACGTGTCCTGTTTGTAGGGCAAATTTGGAAATTCAAGTTGACCGTCCGAATTCTCCTACGTCGTTAGCGCAAGTACTCCTACAACCGTACGAGGATGAATTGGACACGTCATCGGATCGAGTTTCGCAACTGCCTCGTGGTGACGATCAAGGGGACGACGTGATCGTTCATATAGGATCATCTCCGGAAGTTATAATAAAAAGTCCTACGATAAACACAAATAATGGAGTGGGTGAACGTAGGGGTTTTTTTCCTAGGTCACATTCGACGGGTCGTTCATTGGTTGAAGATCGTGAGAAGTACACGTTAAGGTTACCTGACGAGGTACGCAACAAGTTAAGGAATTTAAATAATTTAAGTAGTCTACCCCCTGCAATGGTTAGTCCACGGACCGGATACCGGTCTAGGAGGAGTAATAGTTGTGCTACCATAATAGCGGGTAATAAACCGGACCAGTGGCGGTTTACTATGAGTCCGCCTTTTATTTCCCGGTCAGGATCTACCGGATTGGCAGAAGGCAGTAGCAATAACAATTATAATAATAATAATAATAATTTAGGGGCGATTATGAAAAGTCCACGGAGTTTTTTTAAGTCAATGAAATCGCCAAAGAAATCACCATTGAACCGTAATGTTCGATGTGATGACATAGGTGAACGGTCATCGGATAGATTATGGTGTAATCCTACGTCTCAAGAAGTAGAATTAGAGCATCATTAGTGGTTTAATTTGGTCAATGAAATTTGAGTATTATTATTGTAATTTTTGGATTGTGACTGGTTGGGCGGTTGAAGTTTTGTTTATGACCCTTTTTTTTTTTAATGTATATTAGTTGTTTAATTGTTTTGTAATGATGATTGGTGAATATGTGAAGGGATATTAATTTACTTGGTAAAAAAACAAGTACAACAACAAGGTCTAACCCATTATTTATTTCTTTATTTATTTATAAGATTCATAAATTAATTGTCAAATTACATACTAATTCAAATTATGATGTCAAGTATATGAAAACACTTTTAATTTTACTTAATGTTCTTTCAAAAAAAAAAATTTTAAAAAAAAATTACTTAATGTTAACTTCATTCAATTACTTAACATCATGTAATCTCAAAGAAAAATAATATTTTAGAATGCTTAATGTTAACTTCATTCAATTACTTAACATCATGCAATTGATCTGCTGCACTTTTATTGTAGAAAAAGTACATACATATATGCTGCAAAAATTCAAATGATGTTATTACTTAAAAAATGAAGGTACACCGTTGTAGGCTATTTAGCATAATATAAATACTATTGTTAGTCATGTACAAATTTTCCCTTTTGGATTTGTATTATTACAATATAATTCTCTCTATATTTACTCACAAAGGAGTATTACAATTAGACTATAGTGGATTTGGTAGCATTGTAAATTTGGCGGAGATTTACAATAAGGGTATATGTATATTTAATTTGTGTGTGTGGCTCTTTGTGTGTGTGGCTTCTTGTTTTGTTTTTGTGTTGCTTTGATAAATTGAAGAGAAATAGAAAATAACTGGCATAGTGCCCGTGCGATGCACGGATTATAAATCAAATTATTAAACCCGTAGGAAAAATAAAAAAAATAAAAAAATAAGGTAATTCATTTACTATTAAAGGACTTGTACTAATGATCAATAAAAAAAAAGGAACGTTATTTGAATAGTATTTTATATTATTTGAATTTCTGTTAATTTTTTATAATGTTATTTTATTAATTAAAAAATAATTGAATAATACATAGCTATATAAGAAGTGGACTAATTTATTTATATCTCCCGTTGAGAAAAAACTAAAATTTTCTTATCATACCATCCGCATCAGTAGCTACAATCAGTCTAATATATACATGTTTTTATTTACCCGTTGCACTCATTAAATCTATAGACACAATAATAACATTATATTTGACCTACCAGACCATATATTTTTCGAAGTTAAGCATTGTGCCAAAAATTATATATTATATAATAGTCATATATATAACCAACAGCTGATTAAATATAGTATACGACACAAATACTTCGTATATAGGTATGGATACTGATAATTTTATATAAATAAAATATACGGAGTATATATTACTAAGATTTATCCCTACATTAATTATAAAAAGGTTAACAAAACTCTTATAATAGTGCATGGACATTTATATATTTAAAAATGTTCTTTTTACATATATTTTCCCCCATTTAATTTTAAATGCCTTAAAATTGTCTCTTGAATTCGCTAAATTGATTTAAAAGGTTATGTTTATTTCAATATTTAAAGTCATTTACTATTTTCATTTCCTTTTGTTTTAATTTTTCTATTTAGAATTTATTAGACTATTAGGTTTCAAGATCGAAGTCAATATCTCTTTACCGTACAATCACTAAATCAAAGTCGCTCAACTAAAGTTTTGGACATTGCATAGCTACACAACATCCAACACATTTAATGATTACATGCAAATAATTTTAATAAAACTACGGATTCGATATAAGTTATTAAACAATTTAATTAACTATATATACATTTTGATAGGTGTATATCTTTCATATTAACAAAAATTTACAAATGTTATTATCATATTTTGAAAAAAAAAAATAGACTTTGGAGTTTTGTATAAGATAGATAAAGGATAAATTAATTCCCGTCATATATGCATTGAATTTTAAGTGTTCTATACTTCTATCCGGTTCACCCTTCCCCTTCCGATTGTTGTTGCAGGGGAGCACACAGGTCCTCCCTACCAAGTGTAGTCTCAATCACCACTACACCAACAACCAATTGGTGTAGTGGTGATTAGGACTACACTTGGTATGGAGGACACGTGTTATAAAATATTATATTATATACGTATACTTTTTTATATTATAAAAAATATTATATTATATACACATACTATTATAGTTAAAAATATTATTATGTATAAAACAACATAAATTATTGCACATGATTGTTGTATATCTAGTATAGTACATGAGCAATGCACGATTTTTAAATCAAAATGTTAGTTTTTTTTAAAAAAAATCATAAGTAATAGCATTGTTAATACGAATATTATTACAATTTAAAACATGAGTAATAGTTATAATACATTTTAAATCTATCCCTTTTCCGTCAAATGTCTAATTCAATTTAACTTTTATTCCTCTTGTTTAGATTGGTTATTGGTTCAGTTTTTTTTTTTTAAATGCAAGAAAAACAAAAGGTCATTGTAAAAGACATTGTATAGAAAATGAAATAACGATTAAAATTAAATTTATGTTCAACATTATGTATTTTTTTCCAAGACAACATTTCGGCTCAGCATTCAGTATTTGTCAAGGAGTACAACAAACAATAAAAGTAATTTTTACACTATTTTGTATCTTTATAAAAAACTTTTGTATTCATCCGATTACTTGAATTGAATTTAGGATAACTTGTAGACTATTTTGGGTAACTTTTATCAATAAAGCATAAGTAACTTTCATTCATTACAGAGTAGCTTTTATAATAGGTGCACAATATTTTATTGTACATCTGATTTTTTTTAAAATGTTTGTATTGATTTCATAATTGACGTCAAACTAAATATTATCGATTTTATTTAATTTTCATAAAAAAAAAACAATATTAGCCTTTCAAAATACGAAATATTTGTTTCCTTAATTATGCCACTTTAATCATATTGCTTCAAATTAGTTATTATTCTTTAACTTAACTATAAATAAAGATTGGAAAGATTTTATGGATTATTTGTAGTATTGGAAAGTTTATATTTATTATAAAAAATTAAATCAATATTTATGTTAGGAAATCATGAAAATCTTATGCATGTATAAAAACTTGCTTTTATTGTTTGAAGTTTAACAAAAATAACTATGCTTAAATATGTAAACAGTAATTATATAGATATATTTTATATATAAGATAAGCCAATGAGAGAGTGACATTTGTCATCTTCACATTGAGGCGCTTGTCTTTTAGTATAATATATAGAAGATTAGAGTAGAATAGCTTACTTTCTCATTGATTATAATTCGGAATATATAGAGTTACAAAGACCTACTCCTCGTATCAAAAGATATAGTAGGATCTTAGGAATTATATGGAAATATTTTATCAAATCTTCCTAATATACGATAATATCTCAATACCCCCCTCAAGTTGGAGCATGCGGATAAAAAATGCCCAACTTGAAAAGAAGATAATCAAACTGTGCTTTCCCAAGAGCCTTTGTAAAAATATCAGCAAGCTGCGAAGATGTCGAAACATGAGATGTAGATAACCATCCCTCAGTAATAGTATCACGAACAAAGTGACAATGAATCTCAATGTGCTTTGTCCCGTTAACATTAACTAATATATTTTTTTTAAAGAACATTAACTAATAATATACTTGACATCATTAACTAATTCGGAATGTATAGAGTTACAAAGACCTAGTCCTCGTATCAAAAGATATCGTAGGATCTTAGAAATTATATGGAAATATTTTATCAAATCTTTCTAATATACGATAATATCTCAATATGCTTTCTTGACCATATGTACTTGCAAATTCCAATTAACACGTTCCATTTCTATAATAGCAACGTAATAGGTCAATGACTAAATGAGTACCACGCCTGAGGCATTAGATGAAAATCTTACTACTTAATTATCATCAAACTACCCGAATCGGCATGTTTGTTGGTGCATATAATTATATTGTAGGTTAGAGAATATACATTCATATATTAGGAATATAATTAATCATACTTCTATGCAAGTAACACTACATGCTAACCAGTAACCACGCACAATAATAATCAAAATACAAATACTACCTTATAATACATGTACTAATAATATTGTTCATAAATTCCTAAACTAATTAAATGGGAAGAAAGAATTCATTGTATTTGCTTCTATTAGTAATCTCACCTGTTTTAGTATCAGCTGAGAAGGGTAAATCCGGATGGTGGTCAACCTTTCTCATCTCAACAATATACATCGGGTTCATCGTATTCGCCGCGGGGTTGGCGATTTTTATAAGGCGTTACCGTGAGCGTCGTGACCAACTCAACAACGATAACGTTGAGCGGGCGCCAGGGTTGGACGTGGAGGAGATTGATTCACTTCCGTCGCTTAGATTCGCACAGATAAAAATGTATAGAAATGAAAAAGGAGAGCAGCAAGAGCTAGAGTGCGTTGTGTGTCTTAGCGAGTTTAAGGATGAAGAGGTGTTGCGTATTTTGCCTGATTGCCTTCACGTCTTTCATCCTCATTGTATTGCGCCTTGGCTTGCTTCTCATATCACGTGCCCCGTTTGCAGGTTCGATTTTTCTTTTTTTTTTTTCATTTTTTTTTTGGTAATTTAGCAAAGTAATTAAGTAAAAATATATTTATCTTTAAAAAAAAATATTGTGTGTCTATTATCTATGCTTTATTTTACAAAACACATATATCCAAATAGGAAGAAAATATTACTAGTAAATACGTAAATATTCGAGCGGATATAAATCTTGGTGCTTTTTTGTTTGGGCATGTGCATGGATGGTACTCATGTTACGACAATAACTAGTTAACTACTCCCTTCGTCTCTATGGAGGGTTGAGAGAGATTTAGAACTGTCTCGCAAGAGTTGGTCATTTCATGCGGGATTTAAATTTTGTCATTTTAGATTTAGTGGTACAAAATACAATCTCAGTGGTACAAAATATATTTTAGTGCTATTTAAAAAAAAGGTTCAAATGTCTAATTAGGCTGTCAAATAATAACATTTCATCTCAGTGGTACAAAATACACTCACAGTGGCACTCAATGCGGTTTTAGTGGTACTTATAAAAATCCTCAGAGGTACAAAATATACTCTCAGTAGTTGTGATCCCAATTTTTTTTTTTGTCGTTTATGTACGTGAAACTATTTCAGACTCCAAAGGTGGGCCCTACCTCACCCTTTTTCACTCTCTCTTTTCCTCTCTCCCTCTTCCTAGTACATTTGCTATATTATTTTACGTTGTGAGACACTCACAACCCTTCAAATGTACTTCCTCATATTATTGCCCCATATTGTATATTCACTTTATTAATTTTTGGTTGTGTAAAGTTGATGAGAGAGAATATAATAGTACGTGGATCCAAAACATTGTTTGTGAGAGGAAAATTCAAAATAGTGGTCTCTATAGCTATAAATCAAATGGAGCAAAATAAAAGGGATAACTGAAATAGAAAAGTGGAGCAAAAATTAAGGAAAAGAGGGAGTACATAATTTTTTTTTTAAACAAGAACTATGTAGTATTTATAAATCAGTATAAGGTTTGTAAGCTACACTTCTCTTTTCATCAATTTATCATATTTTCCTCATTTTATATTACTTGATACATTTTATTTAGACGTGTTTGTCAATATATAATTTCAAATATTAATATCTTCAATTATTATATAAAACAAATAAGAACGTCATATTTGAAAAATAGAATTCGAGACAAATTTAATAACACCCTATTCAACAACATTGTTTCTTAAAGATAAATCAAAAAATGAAATTAAAGTAATTTATGTGAATAGGGAGAAAAGGCAAAACATATTATCTAATACTATGAAACAGAGGAAATATGATAAAGATGGACCTCACTTACTTTGTGTGTGTAATTAGTGAGCTCTCCTCCTATCGTGGGCTTAGGAGTGTAGCCCACAAACCATAAATCTTTAAAGTTCAGTCACATTAATTCAAACATGGATTACACACCTTCACACACGCTTGCATATGGCCACTACTCTCTACAACTCCCAGTACAATCACTACTGTCCACTACTGCTGATTTAGCATTCATTACTTCAAGGAAATATACTTAACTAAATGACAAAAACAGTAAATAACAGCTTAGGCAATCCACTCTAGCTTTTTAAATTTCTCTAAATTAACTTTCACTTATACAATTATAAGATTTATAACCATTAATTAATAAGTAAAAATCATAATAAAAAAAAAAAAAAAGTTAGAGCGTGTTCTCTTTAGCCTTAATTTCAGTTTAGTTCACTTCAGTTCAATTCCTAATTTTCTTCTCTTATAAACAATTCATTTCAGTTTAGCTCAAATTCAGTAAATCAAAATAGGCCCTTTTTCGTACATACTATAGTAATAGTTTAGTGAAACATATACAAATCAACGTATGTACGTAGAAATCAAAAACAATACAAAAGTCAACGTAAAATAATTAATAAAAAAAAAGAGTAAAAGACGTAGTAGTGAGTATAGATCCTAATGAGCTCGAACATGAAGCAAGGAAAATTGGGCCAAGAATGGAGAATGAAAATCTGTGGTGAGTTGAGAAAGTAAGATAGTGAGGCTTACGTAAATGATAACCTCATCTTAAGACTTTGGTTGTTTAAAAAGAGTATCACTACAAGATAAATCTCTTTTCGTAGCGATTATACTTTCGCTACAATATGCAAGTATGTTTGTGAAATAATTAAGGATGTCGTATCATTTTTACAATCGCCATGATTTTTCTATATAAAATTGATACGGAAAACATAATAATACATATCCACACTATTTTTACACATTTACATAATTTTGAGAAATCGTATCATTTACAATCGCCACTAAATCCTAAAAATCGATACGAAAAGTCTTTTCAAGACTAGATATATAAATATTATTTGACAAAGAATATATAAAATACGTCATAGCTTATTGGTGAAACATTTAATATAAGAGTTTGAGGTTGCATGTTCGAATCTTGTAAAGAGCATACTATTGTATCGAATGACCATTCGTTGGGGAAGCTTTTTGTTGCAATTACAATCGATATTAAAGGTTAATCGCTACAAAAAGGTTATTTTCTTGTAGTGTATATATATGAAAACTTAGATTAACAAATAAATTAAATAATCTTAGTTATACTTGGCCCCAAACTAATTAAGAGGGGACACCATTTACCAATTCATAGTCAAACAGTATACAACCTCTCCGATTATACGAAGTTACAAGATGATGACCACTTATCCCCAATCATGCACCTTAACATGTGAAAATTAATTATTTAATTATCAATTAATCTATTAAAATCTAATTATTATCCAACTTGACCATGTTTGGTACATACACTAAAATATTTACTCTATACATGTTATGTAACACTACTACTATCTACCTAATAAGCATGCAACAACTAAACCAACAAACACAAAATATGCACTAAAAAAAAACTTTAAAAAATAGTGAAAAAATAATGAGGAAAGATCATTTTCTTGTGCTTGTTTTGCTTCTATCACCATCTTTGGCATTTGGTGAAGATGGAAAACCAAAAAAATGGTGGTCAACACCTCTTATAATAGTCCTATACATAGGGTTCTTCCTAGTAGCAGCCGGTGTAGCGATATGCGTACGCCATTTCCGAGACCGGAACCTCCCCTTACACTACCAACATGAGCGAGAGGTACGTGGTTTGGATGCGGAGGAGATAGAGTCACTTCCTTCACTACGATTCTCCGAGGCTAAAATGCACCGGCTTAAAGAGGAGGACCAGCAAGTCGAGTGTGCCGTGTGCCTTAGCGAGTTTAAGGATCAAGAGGTGTTGCGTATTTTGCCTGATTGTTTTCATGTTTTTCATCCTTCTTGCATTGCTCCTTGGCTCTCTTCTCATGTTACTTGCCCGATTTGCAGGTTCGATTTTTTTTTTTTTTTTTTTTTTTAAATCCTTAAGTGTTACATGATCTTAATTAATAATTAACTATAACTACTTATTAGCTAGCTAGCTGATTAATTATAAATTTATTATCAAACTTGTTAGGATTAATTCTTCAATTTTGGCTCTATTATGAGTACTAGTTTATATATATGCATCAATATTAAAGGTAACAAGGCTAAAATCTATAAGCTAATTAATACTAATAATAAGTTGTTGATAAAACTTTACTTATAATGTAAAAACTGTAGGATTTGGAAATGGTATGGTCATATGGAATTATGGATTAAAAGTTATACATATAATTTTCAAGTGTATTTAATAAATAAATTATGATCGTCATTTTTATTCATATATTTTTGTTATTATATGGGACTTTAGGATAAATACGAGTACTGTACTACTGTACTAGAATTTCTTTGCTTGTCATCTCATGAATTGTATTTTGTCTCTATCTTTAAGATTTAGATGTTTCTTGGAAATTCCAATATCTTTGATTATTTATTTTAAAATTTATCTCTATATTACTTCCATCCTTTTTACTTGTCTTCATAAATTATTTGTCAATTTGCCAAATTTCTTGCTTTGTTTTTTTACTCTATGTTTTGTACATTTTTTAAATCAATACCTGTTTCGCGCTCCTAAAATTTGCAAAGTATCACGAATCTATGACTTTACTAGTATAGAGTATAGACTTGAGCAAGTAAAAAGGGTAGGAGGGATGATAATACTTTTTATAAGCATAAACATTATAATTAATTTATACATAAAAGTATGATATATTCATCTTAGCACCACGTAATCTCAGTTAATAAGTAAAAAATGTTGTTTGGTCTTTGGACGAGAACAATTAATTGGGACATTATTCAATTATAAGAAGTCAACGTGTCTTTAGCTTATTTCGTTTTTCAAATAAAAATTAAAGAATCTAAAATTCTCAATCTAAACTTTTCCTGTTTGCCAGATAGCAACTATATAATTCTTATCAAAATAAAAATAATAATAATAATAATAATAATAATAATAATAATAATAAAGTTATATGAAGTATAATAGACAACCCTCTTAAGTCCTCAACAACCAACGTATATGCTAATATAGATTATAATTTAATATATTGTCGTTGTTCAGAATTAATGATCACATTGTCATATTATTATAATTGAGACGAAATACTACTACGTCTATTGCAGGTTCATTTCTATAATTTAATTTCTCCGTATATCCATATATACCAATTAAGTTATTATATGAATTTTTCAAAATAGTTAAGCTAAGTGATTACTATTTGGCATGGGATGGACATAATACTACAACAAGCTAAAGTTGGTCATGCATGCAGGTCGAGCTTGGAGCATAGGCAAGGATCTAGTGTGAGCATGTCTTCCGCATTTGATGCTACTTCAGGTCCATTGTCACAGAGATTTGGTCATAGTGGTTATTTTCAGCACATTATGGATGACAACGACGAAGATCTTGATCACGATCACGAACATGTTACAGTCAACATTGAAGGGTCATCAAACGTACATTCAGAAGTGTTGAGTGATGATGGTCCTAGTACTCCTAGTGACACTGGAAAAAAGTTACATAGGTCTTACTCAACGGGTGACATGATAGGGAAAAATAAAACTAGTATGACTACTTCTTGGAGCCCATTATTTCCTAAAGAAAGTAGTCCAAAGAGTGATTATCATATAACAGTTAATAATAATGCACAACAACATTGGAGTAGCATTATGTCTTTCAAATCGGATCGATTCGTAGACTATTCTTCATTAATATTGGTGCAAATGAAGGGTGCAATTAGGTCACCAAGCCATGTAACGTCTACGTTGGAGCCGTAAGAGATATATTGGTGGTGTAACTCTTAGCCCACTTCTAAACTCTAGAGCTCAAAATTTAAATTGAGTGTTATACATGTACAAATGGAGTCATATTAGCCAATAAGGTTACAAGTTACAACAAATTTAATCGAGAAAAAGTTCATATGATAAGACGGTATAAGGGGGTTTTTTCATCATTTTTCATCCCCTAATACTGTTTTTTTTTCCCCTCTCTTTTATGATGTTTAGTAACTGTGTTATTTGTTATTTTCCCATTAATTGTGCAGGGAACAAGAAACCTAAAAAATTTTATGGGCTTAGGCCTCAGCCTAAGGGGCCAACAAGCTTAATATCAACTCGTTTGATGTAATTCTTTTGTCACAATGATCCTTGAAGAGATGTCACTCCCTCTATTTCTAGTAGAGTCCCATTTGGGAAAAAAAAATGGAACCTTATTTGTCACGAAAAATTTTATTACTCCGATCTATACATATTTAAAAATAAAAATTTATTTTGTTCGATTCATTGTCGATATATAGTTTTATACTTTCATCCATTTATTGTAATTGCTCAAGCATGCAAAAACATTGTTGTAAGGATAACCACTTTGATAACACGATAAGAATACACTACAAGAAAAAAGGTCAAAGAGGGCGACTTTAATCGGTCAAGGAGGGCGAGTTATAGTTTGTCTTGTTAGTTGCTATCAAGGAGGGCAAAATTATAATTGCCCTTTTATTACAGGCAAAGAGGGCGAAATTTACTTTTTGTCTTTCTATTTCAAAGCAAGGAGGGCGAATTAGTTTTCGTCCTGTATATCAGAGCAAAGAGGGCGAATTCCATTTTCGTCCTCTAATTCAGAACAAAAAGGGCAAAATTTTAGTTTTACCTTCTAATTTTAGAGCAAAGAGGGCGAAATTTTAGTTTGCCCTCGTTGAAAGTACTACTAGTAATAAAATAATACGCCCAAAGACAAAAGTGGTAATAAAATAATACTGGTAGCTTCAGGCCTCACTTTTCCCTTCAAAAAAGAAAAACTCTCACTCTCTCTCCTCTAAAAAATGAACCCTAAACCCCCAAATTGATTGCTCGAATTTTCTTCTGCTCTAATCTCTTGCTCGAATCATTTGCTCAAATCATTTGCTCGAATCTTCTGCTAGAATCATTTGCTTGAATCATTTTCTCGGATCGAATCTCTTGCTCGAATCTCAACCAAATCGAAAGTTTCAGGTATTGCCTCGTTGCATTTTACATTGATTAATTACTTAATTGTATGAGCTATTGCTTAATTGCTCGAAATTGCGTAATTGCTTAATTGTATGAGCTATTGCTTAATTGCTCGAAATTGCTAAATTGTATGAGCAATTGATTGCCGTGAATTGTGTTAATTGCTGTGAATCTGTGATGAGCTATCAAAAGTTTCAGGTTTGTGTACTTTAATTTTTGTGAATGTTTTTTTTATTCCGATTTTTCATTGGTTTATTATAGATTCAGTAAAATTGTAAGAAATTATGATTATTCTGCCAAATTGTATTTTTTCGATGATGTAGCATTGGCATTTTTCCTTTTTAATTTAGAAATGGGGCAGATTTCCTCAAAATTATAAACAAAATGGCACTAATTGATACTGTAAAGAATAAGGAATTTAGAGGATCGATAAATAATTTGAAGTTTGATTAGGAAATCTGGATTAAGAAAATCTCTTTAAATGTAAAATAAGGTATGTGATTCGATTTGATTATTATATATGGTTAATAGAATCAATAAACCTTGAGCATTCTAAAGTGCTGATTTGCAGGACAAATTATGCCAAGTATATTCTGAATTTTCGACATAACATAACCAAAGTACAAATGTATAAACTGATAAAAAAAGAAGCAACTGAAGAAATCTTGATTTTATTCCCTATAGTGCTAGGCCAAGCTCAAACTTGAAGATTTTGCTTTCTTAGATTAACCTTTGCCTTTTAGAATTGTCGCCTTTTGATACAATATCAGTGAATCGTAGGTAGTATCTTTGACATGTAGGAGGCCTAGGAGCAGTACATTTGTGAAGCTCCTGTTGTTTTCATCTATGAGTAAGCATTTATGACAGTTTTGAGTACGATCATATGATGTTTTGGTGCAAATATTGGAGCTTAATTCTTTTACTCTGTATTATCTATTGTAATAACAGTTTCCATTAATTTTCAACCTGAATTTGGCCATTCGACCAAGCTTATATTATTGTACAGGAAATTAGGATCAATTCAATAATGTTAAGTACACTACTGTCATTTTCTAAATTGATTGTTCAGGAATGATGTTGAAGATATTCTAGTTACTATTGTTGTTGTTATTGATGCTGGTTGTGTCGTCCATGTATTTCTAGTTACTATTGTTGTTTTTGTATTTCTAGTTAATGTTCTAGTTTCTGAATAGCTGTATGTTTTTGTAATTGCTATCAAGTTAGGTGATAATAATGACTTGTTTTCATAGATATGTTAAAATTGACATGCTTATTAATGAAAAGGACTATAGTATGATGCTTTACTGTTCATATCTTGCAATTATGAGCAATGCATATGATGTCCTAAATCTCTGCCAACCGATCAGATAGTCTCACATTCGCAAAAAACTTAAAAACTAGTAAAATTAAAATTACAAAACCTGAACCTAGGTGCACATTACTCCTCAGATTCAGGTGTAGTGTATTAATCCTTTTTTAACTAGTAAAATGAAAGTAGAATGCTTATAAATGAAAAGGACTATAGTAAGATGCTTTTAGTTGATATAGACTGCAATAAAATGCTGCTAGTTCTCTGCTCAAAAAGTTATAAAACCTGACTCTTTTATATGTTTATTATTGTATTAGGTTTATATTGTTCTGTTCCAAGAAACTGGTACTATCAAGTTTATACATTGTTCCCAACTCTTGCACAAATGATTTTCAGCATTTTATTATTTCACCAATGGTTTAAATGGAGTGATTTTCCTGAAGGGAAATATCAGTAGCTGGCTAGCTTTTATTTTCTTAATAAAGAATGCACATGAACATCATTTCTGGTGGTTACATCAGATGATCTTCTGGCTCACATTTCTGGTTCTGTTGCTCTGATTATTATTGTTTCCTAAATGGATTGATGTTGCTGAAATTAATAAGTGTATGTATGTGATTTGATAGGAACTTGAGGCACAAGCTTGTGAAAATGAGAATGAGGTCATCGAAATCAATGGTTCTAGTTTAAATGTAACCACCTCATCCCAAGATAATGATGATCCCATATATTTAAAGTTATGGGAGAAGTCAAAGAGGTATATTGAATATTTGTCTAATGCACGAACACTTTGTTTTTCTTTATTTTAAAATTCTGACTTTGTTTTATCTTGTAAGGCATAAAAATGGGAAGTTTGACAATGAGGCCGAGGAGAAGTCATGGAGTGTGATACTTGATAGAGGTAATATTTTCAAGCTCACTCTTTGCATAAAATTGCCCTTTGGATGCATTTTCAAGTGATACCTTGTTAAGACTTGTGCTTTCCCGGAGTGTGTGGTATTTGTTTATCCTTGATTGCTGGATTTTAATTGCTATTTTGTGTTGGTTCTGTTTATGTGAAGTGGTGATGGTTGTTAATAGGTGGTTCAAGACTATAGCTATATAGATGTTTGGTAATTTGAAATGGGTTTTTTTTTTTTTTTTTTTTTTGGTTCTGTTTTGTGTATTGAACCATTTTAGGTGGTTCTGTTATGTGTATTGAACCATATATGGTAACTAAGCACCCAGTATCACAATTGGAGGTTAAGGAGCCTTGTGAATTCAGTAACTGCTTGATCTCCAGAAGGCATATATTTTTGAGGTTATAATTACCACTCCTAAGGAATGGTATATCGGTTTGTGCATCAAAACTTCAGTCTACCCCTTAATCCTACTTTTACAGCCGCCCTATCTTGTTGGATGTTAGTAAGAGTGGTATGATGTAGTGATATTTATTTCTTTTATTTTCAAATTTTATAAAGACAACTGTTATCAGGCATTTAGTTGCTTCTGCTGGTATTATTTTCAAATTGTAGGTTCCTCTTAATTGATAAAATTCTCATGATATAATATGTTTCAGTGCTCGTGTAGCAGACTACCTTTTGCAAGCATCTCTGTTTTGTCTAATAGCTGTTGGATCACTATGGTTATATTGCGTAAAATACCGGTCTTGCAGTTTTGTTTGTGATTAGAGACCATGTTTGAGCTCTTGATGTTGAATAATTGTTTTAATAACCTTTATTTTGATGTTGCATTTTGCTACACTATCTTAGATACCTAATCATGTAGCGATCAAGATTGCTTTGGAACTTAAAAAGCTAGTTGGTTTTTGCTTTAAATGATCTGTATTGTAGCAATGTAATACTCTAGTGTTTCTTTATTAATTTACATTAGTCTTGTTTTTGTCAAGTTTGCAGTTAGGGGATCAAGTCAATGTTTTGGGGATGGAGGACACCAATGCAAGGATGAGAAGATTGCTTGATAGACAACTGGTTAATACTTTTGTATATATTTGGTATTAAATATTATTAAATATTTGCTATTATAGAAAACTTGGTTAATACTTTTGTATATATAATGACAAAATTAAAATTTATGCCTATTAGCATCTATTGTAGAAAATTTATGCCTATTAGCACCTAGAATTATTTTTTTTAAAAACAAAAAATTGAACAAAGAGGGCGACTTTGATTTTGCCCTTTTAAAATATGATCAAATAGGGCGAATTTTGAGCAAGGAGGGCAATATGAATTGACTTGTTTGACTTGATTACACAGGGCAAAAACCTTTTCGTCTGATTCAATCAAAGAGGGCGAAAATTTTGCCCTATTTGATTTTGATCAAAGAAGGCGAAAATTTTGCCCTATTTGATTTTGATCAAAGAGGGCAAAATATTTTGCCTTCTTTGATATTTAACAAAGAGGGCGAAAAATTTGTATGCCCTTTGAAGCTAATAGGACGAGGCTAATAGGGCGACTTGGGGGCGATTTTAGAATCGCTCTCTTTGGCTAAGAGGGCGAAATTTGAATTGAACCTAAGAGGGCGATTTAAATTGCCCTCTTTGATATAATATCTTGTAGTGATAGCTCGACCTTGTGAATCTGTAATGAGTTTATCTCGAATAAGTAAATTAATAGTCGGCTCAAAAACAACCTTACTTGGACATAGCTATAACTTAGAAAGTTGAACATCTTTGTCAAAATTTTATGGTCATTAGCCATCTTTTTGAATGTATACATTTACAAGTTATTCCTCGTTAGAGATATATTAATTAAATGCTTATAAAATCAAGCAACCATTTTATTAGTGTAAATATTAATGAATCTCCCTTTGATTACTTAAAAGCACCTAATCTTTTGTTCATACTTGTGCTACATATACTCCTTGTTCTTACTTGTGCTACATGTAAGCCTTCAATGGTGTCGCTACCTACCACTTTTGTTCTTACTTATAGTACATTTAGTCCTTGTTCAGTTGTTCGTAATTACTCATTTATTAAACATGATCTTTGTATCTATGATACCGATGTTTTTTATAAAATAATCTATCGTAAATTTGAAGATACCATACCAAATCAAGATATCATATTGACATACCAATCACAAAACCAAAACCAGTAAATTATACTTGTACTACTTCACGATATGTTTAGTTTTTGCTCGATAAACAAACTAAACATATCATATAGATTAAATATAAATTGTAATAGAGTCAAGTTTGTAAGAAATCAAAATTGCCTCTTTTATACATAACCTTACAATTAATATATGTAGTGATGTCGACGTTATCTCCACAATAAACCAGAAACAATGATTTTAAATTTTTAATATATAGTTGTACACATAATTATATCTCCAATTAAGCTAGTTAGCTGTATAAAATGCTATCATTATCAATTAAATTGACTTCTCAACTTGTTCTTTTGTTTTGGAATAGTATAATACAATATTACAATAATTGAGAATGTACACATAGACTTTGCTAACTTATTGCAGGCATCGTTAAAAACAAACAAGCATTTCAATTAACATGCTTGACTACATGTAGTATTCTCGATCTAATTCAACCATATATGTCAAAGTATCTTTAATTTTATTACATTATATACTTGTATAAAAAAATTTACTCCAATGAATCATAGAATTCACGGGAACCCTCTTCTTTGGAAAGATTATGTAACATTTGTACCACTTTAATGAATCGATAAAATATGAATCGATCACCACATCTGATGATTTTATCGATTCATGATGTTGTGTTACCTTCAAAAACCAACCTTTTTGATTCAGTATGAATCCAACTAAAAGTAAAACGCACCCATCATACACAAAAATGGGAGTACTAAACTTTATTTTTTTTTTTGAATGGAATTTATAAACTTTATATGCCAAGAACTTAAAACCACCAAGTAAATTTAGAGGAATCATTTCCTACAAAATTTGACCTATGTTGAGTACGTCTTTATATAGGCCATAAACGATCAGAGGTTTTAACCGGAGGGAGGGAGGCCATGCTCTTGGAGCTATTGAAAACCAAACCGGATGACACCATGGACCGAACCGACCGAGACGGAGCATTAAAAATAGGTGGAGTCATAGCAAACCACCCACACCGGTAAGCACTCCTAGGGCTAAGCATGGACCGTAACATCTTAGACCGATTTGGTATATTATTTTGTACATCTTCGGGTAACACTAGCGTAAACCTCTCCGAATCGGCCATAGAATGCCCCGTCGAATGTGATCTAGGAAACTTTCCTACAATAGTCTTCTTAACATCCTCACCATCATCTACAAACTCCATCGATTTACTAAAATCGCGGTGAGAACTATCCGAATCATCGTGTAACGTTGTAGGAATATTAATTATAGTATGTGAAGATTTAATGTTACCTGGTTCAGGCTCTAGGGAGTGTCTACACACGGGACACGTAACGTGTTTCATAAGCCATTGATCAACACAACGTGGGTGAAAGACATGGCTACAACCCGGTAATAGTCGTAAGGCCTCGGGGTCTTGGAACTCGCTTAAGCACACGGCACATTCAAGCTCGACTTGACCTTTACGATGTTGTTTTACGTCTGCGTAGAAGTACGTAGGGAGGGCCTTGATGAACTCGGGATCGAGGCCTTGGTTGATTAGTTGACCGTCGGCTGTCACGTTAGGGTTGATCGGGGTTACGTTGAGGCCGAAACATCCGTCCGAGAATTGGCGGAGGAATACGGCTAGACAACCCGTGAACATGAATATTATTCCCATTATTATGATTATTACGGTGGATGGTGTGAAGGGCTCTCCGGAGTTTCCTTTGAAGCTATCTTGCGCCACCACGAAGGACGGCGACAGGAGGAGCAAGAGGAGGAGGGAAAGTTGATAGGGATTTTTGTCTTGCATTTTTTTTGGTGGTTTTTTTTTTTTTTTTTTTTTTTTTTTTTGGATGAGGTTATATTAGCTTAAACTTAAGGGGTGTGTTTTGGGGAGTTGGAAGAGTTGAGAGAAGAAGAGAAAAGAATTGAGGATATGATTAGTAGGAGTGAGTGTATTTGAAGAAATCTTATGAGATTTTGAGTTAATTTTATGAATGTTGACTTGAGGTGAATATGATCCTCATAGAAATAGGTGGTTGTATTCTTGTATAATATAATATGGTGACGTGCTTCCCAAATGTTTGCTACTTGGGGAGTATTAGCTTGTTAAGGTTTCATCTAATTGTAAAGCCTTATTCATTTTCCAATGATAATTAAGGAGTAAGATTACCTAATCAAAACGCAAAAACTCGTAACATGATGTTTGATGTACTCCGTGGTAGTCAAGTAGTCTTATATACGATGACTTATCAGTAAGGTTAAGTCTAGAGAAAAGGTTTGCAATTTTGTATCATTCAACTATAAAAGGCAAATCAAATTCCACCTAAGACACTTTGGCCAGGGAGGGGATTCTCTTACCTCACCTCCGATCCCCACTCCCAAATAGCCTACCCAGCTAACTCGGATGTTCATCGGTGAGAGATTCCAACTTGAGAGTGCCTTCTCCTTAGCCCTTATCTGTGGGGAAAAAAAAAAGTTAGTACAATAGTCTTGTGTCAAACAATAACTAGATATGGATTTTGACTTGTATGATCATAATAATTTAGCATAATTCAAACTTAAATTAAACTATACCTGATTTGATCCAATTCAATTGATCGAACCGAACTTAACATGATAAACAAAATTGACACCTATAGTCTTATGAAGCTAGTCATATTGTTCAACTTGTTACACTATCACCTATTAATTAGTAATCATACTCCTATTCATAATATAAAATTTCTATCATGGGCTCATTGTCATTGTCATTTTATATTCAATTATTCTATCATATAAATGTAAATTGACTCATATTGGAGAAGGAATTAAAAGAAATTACACCACCTTATAAGTTTAAAGAAGTTTTCTATCTTACTACGAGTGTATGCCTATATGATATGCCTCGAAATAAATAGAGATATTTGACAACACATGATTCATAACATTGACTTATCATGCATGAACCATTGGAATATCTTTAATTACAAAATTATACTACGGAGTATATTATTAGTTAAAGTCTTAAAGATAGCTATTTTTAATAATCGTCTACCAAACGGACCATTAGGTATGCCTGGAATCAAATTGGATGTGATAAAAACTTCATGAAGGTACGAAGGAATATGTTTGGATCGAGATGTAAATGTGGGTTGACATGAGAGCCTAAGGCGGGTCCAAGATATGGACAAATAGTCTGTAATTTGTGATGTATCTTTCTAGTAAGACAACTACTTAAAATATTGCTTTATTTGTGACCTTCAATCTTACTCAATGGACAAACCAAATACAACTGTCTAATCAAATTGAACAAGTTTTATAATTTCTTGAGTATTCTAAATTTCTAATACACAAGCATTAATTTTTCTTAAGTAACCTAACAGCTTGAGTACGAATTTATTTGACAATTGGCATTTTCTTTATCCACACCAAAAATTAATTATATGACAACTTACACTAGAATCTTGTGGTACTCTAGCTCATGATTTAAACTTCTTCAATATTTTATTGTTATATATGTCGCTATTTTTTTTTTGATCATGCATCATCAAATATATTAGGGATTGTGATCGGGTGAGTGATGAAATTAGACCTAATTGGACCTTAGGAGTGCTTCAAAAGTTTCAAACGAAAGAGAAAAAAAAAAGGTCAAGTAATATAATATAGAAGGAATCTTGTAGAATATTCATTACAATAACTAGATGATAATGATGTTATTATGCATGTATGTATGCTTAATTGTATTTTTACTCTTCTAGTTTTTAATTAGTGAACTTATTGACATTTAAAGTTTTTTTTTTTTTTTTTTTCAAAGATTGTGATTTGTGACATTATTAAAGATTTGAACTTAAAATTTTTTGTGGCAGAAAATGTGTATTTGACATTGTATAAACAACTATTATAAACTTGGGGAGAAAACTAACCCATTATTTATTAAAATAACAAACTTGAATAAAGCCCATTTCATCATTCAATTAGAATTTTCGAAAATAAGGAGCACGACCCTTTAACGCTCTATGACCTAGTACTTGCATAC